ATATATATCAATAGCTCTGCAGATGGCTGCGCACACTCGCAGGTGCAGCACAACAGTCCACCATCGCAGCAGCACACCACACGTGTGCACGGGAACAGCCAATGCTGCAGAAGGGAAACAAAAGTATATATAAGCCAGGGGTGGCGCACAGAATTCCAGAAAAGAAAAACTAAAAATAATAAAAACAAGCACACATGCCTATAAGGCTAATAGACCTCAATGAACCCCAGTCAAGCAATCATCAACGGTCAGTGTGTCCCTGCGCTGCAATATCAATCAACCCACGGGCCATGCAGAGAAAGAAACACGCAAAGAATATAGAGGGATTCACCTTCGCCATGCACACGTCCACCAGCAGCTTCCATTAGAACACCGCAGTGCAGCCCAGCACACACATCGAAACAAGCAGCAATAAGGGACTGTGCACCAATGCAGGACTGCTGCTGTTGTCACTTGACTGTGTATTATCCAAATTGTCTGGAGCTGAAGAAGAAGGAGAATTAGTTGTTTCCTCTTCTTGCGATGGCGAAGTTCCAGAAGCAGATGAATCACTGGGCTTAGGAGTGTTGCTCTGAGAACTATTATTATTCTCTGGTGTTTCAACATTGCCTTCTTCATTTGCATCCTCCGCAGTATTTTCGTCAGCCTCTTTTTCTTCTTCAGGCAATTCATTCGTTTGATTATTCTGCTGTGAATCCGTTGTTGAGTCTTCAGGGTTAAGACCATGTTTCTCCAAGTACTTCTGGAAAGATTCCACTTCCAACTCCAGAGATTCTGCGTGTTCCTCCGCCTCCTTCGCAACCTCGAAGGCCATTCGAACCTTTGATTTCTCTCTTGCAACGAAAGACTGAGCGTCTTTACCGTCTTTTATGCCGGCGACAACCAACTTCTCCACTTCAAAAAAAATATGGTGCGACGAATGAGATAATTTTGGAGGAGAATCCAAAATTTTAGTAGCCTCGGAGATGATATCGTTAGAAAGTCTTTCCATCTCAGTTAATGTCTTGTTAAAATCTTCGGCCGCCTTTCTTGTTATATTCACTGCTAACGGGACATTAGATAGGACATCATTGGCTTCTTGTAGTGCAGCTTTCTCCTCCTTCCACTTTTCTTTCATCTCCTTTTGAGTTGTAGAAGTGTGAATCAGACTCATCTCCGCCTCCGTTCCTTTGGTGAGTCTCTTCAGTTGCTCCACGGCATTTAATGCACGTGTAGAATAAACATCACATGCCCTAATTTCACCACCCAAAACAATTACAGAAACTTCTGCATTATTCAGTGAATGTTTTAACTCATTCCACAGAACCTCAAACTCCCCAGCCTTCTGTTTAAAAACATGCTCATTCACAGGTGAACCACTTTCCGCATATGCCACACACGTACAGAAGTGCAGAAGTACCAACAGGTACACCACGCGGCGCAGTTGGACGAACATCGTTGTCATGATTGTCACTGTGGGTTGCTTGGGTCTGTGGTAACAAGGAAGAAGAG